ATGTAGAGATGAGGTCTCACTGCCCAGGCGGGTCTCGAAACCACGAGCTCAGGCAATCCACTCACCTCAGCCTCCCAAAGGCGCGGGATTACAGGTTGAGCCACTGAGCCCGGCTAGCTTGCTTTTTAAAAATGATTTTTATTATCTGTGTCCATATCTCTAACAATGTATTTTTTTCTTTTGAAAAATCAAACAACAAGAACAATCTGTTTAGTGAAAGAGTAATATTACCACTAGTAAACCTCGTGGGAGAACATAACGTGGCTTCAGTTTGCCCATGAGTTTTCTTTTCTTTTTTTTTTGAGTTGGAGTCTCACTCAGTCGCCCAGACTAGAGTGCAGTGGCCACTCCCAGCCACCGCAGTCTCGACTGCTGGGTCCGGCGATCCTTCCGCTCAGCCTTCCAAGTAGCTGGAACTACAGGCGCGTGCTACCACGCCCAGCTAATTTTTTGATTTATTGTAGAGATGAGGTCTCGCCAAGTTGCCCAGGCGGGTCTCAAACCCGCGGGCTCAGGCAGCCCACTCACCTCAGCCTCCCAATGGCGCGGGATTACAGGCTGAGCCACCGAGCCTGGCTGCCCATGAGTTTTCGAGAGCTCGCTCTGCGGAAGTCAGTAGGCAAAGTCATGAGGGAATATTCAGTTCAGTAGCATAAAGGTTCACACGGTCATGACATTTGGCAGAACGAATATGTGGACCAGGTATTGGAAGTCCACAGAGACATGAAGTTGGGAGAAGTAGATGTAGGAGTCTGTTTCTCGACAACTTTTACTCAATCTTTCTTTTATCCCCTCTTTAGCCTCCAGTTTCAGAGGTACCTGATACTTCATGGCTTACTTCTTTTGAACATTCAGTGATATAAATTGGATTGGTTTTCAACTTTTCCATTGCCAGCTTTGGGTATAGCTTTGGCTTTCTTAGATCTGCTGAGTTAGTCACCCATGTATTTCCAGCTTCCAGAATTTTGATGTTATAGTTTCTTTTCCTGATCTTCTCATTCTTAAGCGTTTATGTCTTTTAAACAACACTATACTGTGATTGTAGTAGAGCTAATTATATTTTATTTATGTTCATATCCTCCTGTGATCTTTTTCAGTTTAAAACTATTAGTAAATAGTTTTCAGTGTAAACACATTATGCAAGAAAAGATAGATCTTGAATTGTTTACTTAGTATATTTTCGTTGAAATTTAAGAGTTAAAGGTTGAATTTTTCTTATTTTTTGCCACATACTAGAAAGTTATTTTACATCAAAGAAAAAAAGGCTGTTGACCTTTTTGTGGTTTTCTTTCTTTTTTTGAGTCATAGTCTCCGTCTGTCACACAGACTGGAGTGCAGTGGCACGCTCACAGCTACCACAACCTCAACCTGCTAAGCTAAGGCAATCTTTCTGCCTCACCTTTCCAAGTAGCTGGAACTACAGGTGTGCACTACCACACCTGGCTAATGTTTTTATTTATTGTAGAAATGAGATCTCACCAAGGTGCCATTGCTGCTCTCAAGCCCCTGAACTCAGACAATCCTCTCTCTTCCAACACCTAAAATGCTGGGATTGCAGATGTGAGCCACCACACCCAGCCTATAGTCTCCTTTCTGTGGTAATAATTTGTATTGGCTGGTAGCATCTACAATATATACCACGTAGTTTATATGATACAGAATTTAGTGAAATTGGATTATACGTACATTATATTTATGAGAGTTAGATCACCTTATCATGTAAATATATTTAAAAGAAAAAGGAACATTTCTTTTACAGATACCAATGTCTGCAGTGTTATTTTCCAAAGAAGACTGAGCACATTTGAGCCTTGATGATATTATATTTTATGTTTTCTTAGGATGGGGAAATGTGTACCTCAAGGTATTTCATCTTCCTAATTCTGTCTTTCATGTCTGTTCCAAGAACTTTTACAAGATTTTGTCTTTATGTTCTTCAGAGTTTAACAACTCTTTTCTGGATGCATTGGGTTCTGATGAGGACTCTGGAAATGAGGATGTTTTTGATATGGAGTACACAGAAGCTGAAGCTGAAGAATTGAAAAGAAATGCTGAGGTAATTTTTTATCCCTGAGTAGAATTGGTCAGATTGTCAGTGTTACTCCCCCTGTTGTTTATCTTCAAAGGTCTCACTTTCAGCATCACAGGTTAATTTTTGCCCTTTTAGCAGCCATCAGCTGGTCTTTGTTTTCTCTTGTCATTTGCTCTTCATTTCTTACATACAAGATTCAGTACAAAATGGAAATACATCCTGACCACCTTATGTGCATGTTAGATAAAGAACTGAGTAAAGGTGTATGTATATTAAACTACCCTTAGTTCTACCAAATAACTATATTATCTTTATAGTTAAATACCAAAACCAGTTGGTTGTTGCTCAGTGAAAACTGTTAAATTAATAACGTTTTACCCCTTTTCCCCTTAAATAATTGCCTTTTTCTCCAAAATTTTAATTACCTAGGATCCCACTATCCTAACACAGTTGTTGTTAGCATTGTGACATATTCTTTTGTTATCCCCACCTCCTCATATGCTTTTTTAAAAGTCATAATAATATAAATATAGTTTTTAATACTATTTGGTTTTTTCTTTTTTCTTTTTTTTTTAACATCTTACTGTCACCCAGACTGGAATGCAGTGATACAATCATAGCTCTCTGCAGTCTCCAGTCCTGGGCTCAAGCAATCCTCACCTCAGCCTTCCAAGTAACTAAGACTAGCACACCACCACACCTAGCCATTTGTGTGTTTTTTGTAGAGTCAAAGTCTCACTGTGTTGCCTAGGCTGGCCTTGAACTCGTAAGCTCAAAGGATTCACCCACCTCAATCTCCCAGGTAGTTGAGACTACAGGCACATGCTGCCCCACCTAGGTTATCCTGTTTGTTAAAGACTAGCTATTTATAAGCATCTTTCTTTTTCTTTTTTGAGGCAGGATCTCACTCTGTCCCCCAGGCTCGAGTGCAGTGATGAGTCTCACTCTGTCGCCCAGACTGGAGTACAGTGGCCACTCCCAGCCACCATAGCCTCGACCTGCTGGGCTCCTGCGATCCTTCCGCCTCAGCCTTCCGAGTAGCCGGAATTATAGGCGCGCACTACCACGCCCGGCTAATTTTTGATTTATTGTAGAGATGAGGTCTCGCCTGCCCAGGCGAGTCTCAAACCCACGGGCTCAGGCAGTCCACTCACCTCAGCCTCCCAAAGGCGCGGGATTACAGGCTGAGCCACCGAGCCTGGCTCAGCATCTTATTTTTAATGACTGTACTCTGCCTCAAATGAACATTCCATTTATTTAATTTTTAACTAACATAAAGCATTTGTCTAAGTAGTTTCTATTTTTTCACTATGATAAATAATACATTGAGAAATAGTATGATTATAGTTTTTTCTATATTTTGGAGTTTCTTCTTTATTTTTTGTCGGTTTTCAGGGTCTCCTTCTGTCACCCAGGCTGGAGTGCAGTGGCACAATCATGGCTTACTGCAGCCTCAACTTCCTGGGCTTAGGGGATCCTCCCACCTCAGCCTCCTGAGTAGCTGACAGTACAGGCACGCACCACCATGCCCAGCTAATTTTTTTTTTTTGTAGAGATAGGGTTTTACTATGTTGCCCAGGCTAGTCTCAAACTCTTGGTCTCAGGTGATTCTCTCACCTTGGCCTCCCAAATTGCTAGGATTACAGGCATGAGCCACCATACCTGGCCTGGATTTTCTTTTATAAGATAGATTCCACACAAGTAAATTACGCATCAAAGTTTTTGAACATTTTAATAGTTTCTGGTTTTTATATATATAGCTATATTCCTTCCCAAAAATTTACTTCATAGTGCTACCTATAGTGCATGAATATCACTTTTCAGCTTTGTTTTATTTTTCTATTAACAATTTTTAAATCGTGTTTTAAAAAATATTTAAAACATAAAAGTTCACTCCCCATCCCCATAGCAACACAGCAACTTTTCATTTTTCATTCTATTGCCCAATACCTGTTAACACATAACTATTTTTGTAGAGCTATTGTTATTATGTGCATTTGAAAAACAAGTTAGCATGTTGTAACATGATCCACGTTATTTTTTTTTTTTTTTAAGTCTGAGTCTCACTCTGTTACCCAGGCTGGAGGACAGTGGCATGCTTACCGCCACCGCAGCCTCGACCTGCTGGGCTCAGGCAATCCTTCCGCCTCAGCCTTCCAAGTAGCTGGAACTACAGGCACGCACCACCATGCCCAGCTAATTTTTTGTTGTTGTTTAATTGTAGACATGAGGTTCGCCAAGTTGCCCATGCTGGTCTCGAACCCATGGGCTCAGACATTCCTCTCACCTCGGCCTCCCAAAATGCTGGGATTATAGGCTTGAGCCACCATGCCCGGCCTAATTTTTTATGTATATAACTGAATAAATATTGTCTTGCATTGATATACCACTAACCAGTCAACTATTATTGGCCATATTTAGTTCCAACTTTGCATTAGATAATGCTACAGTAAATAATTTCATACATATATACTCTTCTTCTTTTGAGTTTTCTTTTTTTTTTTTTTTTTTTTGAGTTGGAGTCTCACTCTGTCACCCAGACTGGAGTGCAGTGGCCGCTCCCAGCCACCGCAGCCTCGACCTGCTGGGCTCCGGTGATCCTTCCGCCTCAGCCTTCCAAGTAACTGGAATTACAGGCGCGCGCTGCCATGCCCGGCTAATCTTTTGATTTATTGTAGAGATGAAGTCTCGCCAAGTTGCTCAGGCGGGTCTCGAACCCGTGGGCTCAGGCAATCCTCTCACCTCAGCTTCCCAAAGTGCTAGGATTACAGGCTGAGCCACCGAGCCCGGCTTGAGTTATTTTCTTAGAATAAATTCTTAGTTGGGGGTGGAATTTTTTTATCAAAGAGTATGAACCACTGGATTTTTTTAATTGAGTCTGACTGCACCACACACTGGATGCTTATCCTTGTGAGCTTTGATAATGAGCTTAAATTCAGTGTTTTGCCTTTTTTCATGTAAAGAATTAAAAGTTATAGCTATCATTTCTGTTTTTCAGACAGGAAATCTTCCTCATTCCTATCGGCTCATCAGTGTTGTCAGTCACATTGGTAGCACTTCTTCTTCAGGTAAGTGGACATCATGATTTCAGCATTATGTAAATGCAGTCATCAGCATTTGCTCCTTAGTACACTGGCCTTTGCCTGACTTTCTAAGGTATAATTTGAATGCATTAAGAAAAACTTGGAAAGCTTTTCTTTGATCACACTCAATGTGAACTGATTTGATCTGTAGATGAACTAAATTCCTGAGCTAAAAGGTATACCAGTATAGTCTATTCCTTCCTAATTCTCTGTATGTATATGCATACATATCTTTTTGTCTATATATATATAGATATATATACATATATTTATATGTATATATATCTATATATATATGTTTGTTTTTGTTTTGTTTTTTGTTTTTTGAGTTGAAGTCTCACTCTGTCATCCAGACTGGAGTGCAGTGGCCGCTCCCGGCCACCGCAGCCTCGATCTGCTGGGCTCCGGCAGTCCTTCCGCCTCAGCCTTCCAAGTAGCTGGAACTACAGGCGCCCACTACCATGCCTGGCTAATTTTTTTTTACTTTTATTGTAGAGATGAGGTCTCGCCAAGTTGCCCAGGCAGGTCTCGAACCCAGGGGTTAAGGCAATCCACTCACCTCAGCCTCCCAAAGCACAGGATTACAGGCTGAGCCACCAAGCCCGGTCTATTTTTTTTTTTTAATGGTTTTCAGATACATTGTTGACAGTAAGGTAGATGTGACTGTTTCTCTCTTTCTCAAACTTCCTGTACCTGAGAAAATTTCAATATGTTTTTAAAAACCTCAATTCTAAGATGTTATTTGTTTCAGGTCATTACATTAGTGATGTTTATGACATTAAGAAGCAAGCATGGTTTACTTATAATGACCTGGAGGTATCTAAAATCCAAGAGGCTGCTGTGCAAAGTGATCGGGATCGGAGTGGTTACATCTTCTTTTATATGCACAAGTAAGAAACTTTACCATATTTGAAGTTGTTAAAATTACCTGAACTCTTTCCTTTGAGGATAAAATGTTCCCATCACTTGACTGGCTGCCAAATGTTTTTTTATTACTTTATTTATTTATTTTTTTGAGTTGGAGTCTTACTCTGTCGCCCAGACTGGAGTGCAGTGGCACACTCACAGCCACCCCAGCGTTAACCTGCTGGGCTTCAGTGATCCTTCCACCTCAGCCTTCCAAGTAGCTGGAACTACAGTCACGTGCTGCCATACCCAACTAATTTTTGATTTATTGTAGAGATGAGGCCTTGCCAAGTTGCCCAGGCGGGTCTCAAACCCGCAGTCTCAGGCAGTCCACTCACCTGAGCCTCCCAAAGTGCTGGGATTATAGGCTGAGCCACCAAATCCAGTTAGTTTTTTATTTTTTGTTATCATCGATAGGATTCATCTCTTGATATTTCCTTGTAAGTCCAGAGTATCTTAACTCAGCGTTGGTTACTCATCACACAGTAGTATCTAGGTTTAGAACTTCAGACTGTTTTATATAGACGCTGTCCTATCACAAACCTTTTTGATCTAGTTTTATCAGCTAGAAAATCTTAGTTATATGAATGAGAATTGCATAGCATTTTCATTAAAGCTAACTATTGACAGTTCCTTCCATCCTCAAAAATCAGCACCCAGAATTAAAATAATCATTGGATGAATGACCTGCTTTTTTTTTGTTCTGTTTTGTTTTGTTTTGTTTTGAGTTGGAGTCTCACTCTGTCATCCAGGCTGGAAGACAGTGGCACGCTCCTGGCTACCGCAGCCTCGACCTGCTGGGCTCAGGCGATCCTTGTGCCTCAGCCTTCCAAATAGCTGGAACGACAGGCACGTGCCACCACACCTGGCTAATTTTTTAATTTATTGTACACCTGAGGGCTCAAGCAATCCTCTCACTTCGGCCTCCCAAAGTGTTGGGATTATAGGCACGAGCCACCACACCCAGCCGACCTGCTTATTTAACAGAATTTGGGTACTAAATGGGATTGTGCAAGCTTTATCATTGTTTGTTTTCTGTTGCTTTTTCTCCTGCCTGTACTTTGGTTCTGCTCACTAAACTTTCTGTTTTATTTTTTTGCTTGTTTTAAGGGAGATCTTTGATGAGCTGCTGGAAACAGAAAAGAATTCTCAGGCACTTAGCATGGAAATGGGGAAAGCTACCCGTCAGGCCTCATGAGGAAAAAACTCCTGGGTTGACAGTGTGCACTGCATTTTCTCTCTTACTGCTGCCCCCCTCACCTTTTCTCTGCCTGAGAAGAATTTGAAATTCTGCTTGATGCGGGAGCAACAAACAGCTCAGGGCCAAACCAAAAAACAAAAATTGGAGTTAAGCAGAATGCTCCATGCTAACTATTTTATGGAAACTTTGGTCTCACATCTGTAGCTGATTATCCTCTTTTTCTCCTACAAGAGTGGCACTTCATTTTGTCTTAGGAGTACATGCTGTAAATATATATATATGTACATACACATACACATACACATACAGGATGAATGGAGTCTTAAAGAGTTAGGATGAGCCACTAGAGTATGCCTGCTAATAGCACAGCAGTTTGGAGAAGAAATGAAGGTGTCAAAGAGTCCATTCACCTTAAGATATATGAAGATACACCTGTCAGTTGGCTTTTAGCTTTTATGTTCCTTGAGTAGTTTCACTCAAGTCTGTAGCCTTTTGTGTGTGTTTTCTTATTAGTAAAGTTCACTGGAAAGGCAGCTCTCCATGTTACACTAATGACAGTTTGTTCTCCTTGCAAGAGAGAGGCATTGCTGGTCGCCTGACTTGAGGAGCTGTTTGGTTTCCTTTTTTGTTTGTTTTAATTTCATGAATTTGTAAGGTCTTTGCTGTTTACATGCAGTCCCAAGAAATGGATTGTTGGTGCTTTGGAATGTGTTATGGTCCCACATTTGGTATTCCTTGTACATTTTGTGTTTTCTTGGAAATTTCTTTACACAGTATGTTCTTCATATATTACCTGTATTATTATGGTGGCAAAAATAGAATCCTTTTTCTTCTGTATCATTTTTTCATGGAGCAGCATTACCCTAATGGATTGTAACCAAAATTTTAAAAGTGTGGAAAGATAATATTTCTCCAATTGTGACTCCTTAGCAGGAATAGTTAAAGATAAGGAAGAATGTTAGCATCTCTGTCTCTCAAGCATAGAGAGATAAGAAGAGTCTTCTGTTAAAGCTAAAATTCTGGACCTAAAACAAAAAACCCAACCAGAAGTGTGAAATTAAGTACTTTAGTTATAGGATGAACCTTGAGTGTTTAATCATTTGCTCTCTGGCTTTGCCCTTAAAATAGAATGGGAATTAAAATGTGGTTGTTTAGGTAATCCCAAGAACTAACAAATAACAGAGGTGCATAATATATTTATCTTACTTTGTAGGTACTTGAGTTGAGGCCAAGTGGGGATGCAACATTAAGTGCTACACTAGTTACTTAGCTGACATAACCAGCTTGGTTAAACAGCTTATGAAACCATATAAAGAATGAGTTTGAGGGTAGTATTCTGTCCACAAAATAATTTTGTAAGCCCAGATAGCATTAGGATCGCAAAGTATAGCAAGCAAAATGAAACCTTGTTTTCTCTTTCTTTTCTTTTCCTTCCTTTCCTTTTTTTCCTTCCCTTCTTTTCCTTCCTCTTCTTTCTTTCTTTTTTTGCTTTTATTATATACTCAGTTCTGAGAGGTAGGGACAAAACCACATTAGGTTTTTCAGGAAGAAAAAACATTTTAAAACCCATCATCACAGAAGCTGCAACATCTTTTCTAGAATATTGTTGCCTTATGAGAGCTCCAGCCCCACTGTTGGAACTTAAATGTGTTCTGACATACCCTTTCCTAAAATTTTGAGTCTTTGAATTGTAAATGGCCTCAGCACTTTGGGTTAACTACTGATAAATCCTTTGCCTCCTACCATCTACCTACCACATTATTGTAATGTATGTTCCAAAATGGTACAGTGGTAGAAAAAAGTAGTAGTAGTTGAGAGCAGAGGAAAATATTTGTTTTGAAAACTAGCTTTAATTTTTTATCTCTACCAGGAGCCTCTTTTGGTTTTGTTTTGCTTGAAAATAACTCGCTTTCTCATAAGTGAGTGAAGTGGTGATTAAATTCTTTGGCTAGTTATTACTTCTCTTACCTGTGCATTCAAGAAGCACTATTAAAAATTATTGGGAAAGGTTTTGAAGTGAGGACTGTGTTGACACATTGAGGAAAAAAAATAGAAATACCGCCTCATAAAGCAGCCTCTTTTGAATTGCTTTCACAGCTTACACGTGTGTATGGCTTAGAAGTACACTTACCTCAGAAACCTGATTTTGATCTTAATGTCTTAGGTAGAATTTGTTAGTTGAAAATAGGTAACGAGTATATGAGTCATCTCACTGCTCATGTACTTGCAAGTTTGGGACTTGAATTTTACTTGATGTCTGTTCATCTTGTGGCCTTGTCAGCAGCTTCCTTCTTCACTCCTTTAACTTGCTTCTTTGACTACAAATGGAGATTTCGGTTGGACTGTATTGATGGGGTTTGTTTTTTTGTTTGTTTACTTGTTTGTTTGAGCTGACTGTATATATTTAAAAATTATAAATAGATAATATATTATTTTTTTGCACAATGTGATCCATTTGCCCAGAATCGGGGGATGGGCAGTTAGCATGTTGTTGGGGCCAGGAAGGTACAAGTTAGACGGGGACAGAGTTGCTTCAGTTGTAGGCGGTCTTCACAATACCTAATTAACCTTCCTATTGAAAATACCAAATGTGTGCTTATATTACTACAAATGACATTAAATTGAAATTTGATAGCTACTGGTTCTGGATACAACTTTTTTATCTTTGTTGGAATTTTTTGGAAGGGAAAAATAAAAGTTGGAAAGTTGCATGTGGCTCAATGCTGTTATCCCATTAGTAGCCATGACTACAATTTAGGCCTATGAGAAGATAGACTCTGTTTCATAGGGATATATTTAATATGTGTGTACACACTCATGAGTTTTGTCTCAGCAGGACAGAATAAGAAGCAAATCCATGAATTGATCTTCTATTTATATTTGATTCCAAAAGCTGTTTGTTTACTTGCTATGATCTGTTAATTCTGGGCCTAATTTTAAAGGCTCATTTACAAATATAGTAAATGTAAATGTGTTTACATTTCAGGAAGTATGCAGTGGGGATCAGTTAATTTATTCTGGAAGGCAAATTTTAGACTACACATTTCTTTTTCTCCTTGATCAAGTGTAAAATTCTGAAAGAGAGGCTTTAAAATTTTAAACCTCAGCACAATAATCTATGAATTTACTTATTCTTCCTTGCTGTGTATAGTTACCATTGTGTAACTATACACGTGTACAGCCATATATATAGTAGTATAATGAAAATTATCTGGAAACACCTAAATTAAAGTGAAAAAAAGAAAGTTTGTGAGTTCATTTGTGATCTACTAAAAGAGGTTATATTTTTAAAAATTAGAATATTATTCTCCCTCTTTCTTTTCTGTCCTCTGAAATAACTGCAGTGGATACTCTTAGTTATCTAACCCCCTCACCTTCTTTTGGCCTTGTTTGATTTAATTGACCCCCTTAAGTGGTCTTTTGTTTTAAATCAGGGAAATAGAGGTAGATCTCCAAGTAGATCTTGTGTACATAGGGAGATTTTTAGAAAAACTATCAACAGCCTAACACCAGCTGCAAGTCACAAAAAAGTGTCCCAATAAAATGGATATGTCGTTTTCCCCTCCATTTTGCTTTACACCAAGCTCTCTCGCGTGTACAAAAACTAAACAGATTTCTGCCCTGTAACATCTTCCTATTGCATTACTTCCAAAATTCTAATTTTGTCTCTGTTGATATGTCTTAACCTCTGAAAAATATATTTTTTATTGGAAAACTATAGTTTATTAGGACTTGAGAGTTTTATGACAATTATTTTGCTGTGTCTCACCACAGTCATTCATCTTTTGGCATGTGTTGATTACTAGACTTCAGGCAGTCTCTTGTGTTGTATCATACTTATACAGTATTAGTGAATTGCTTATTTTCCATGTGTGCTATGTGTCTGAGGTTTTGAAGTTATTAAAAAGTGTGCCAGTATAAATATGAGCATTTGGTTTTAGTAGCATTGAACTTTATTCTTCAAGTACAGAGGTTCAAAGTATAAGTAATCTACTGGCATACGAACAGAGTAGATGAGGGTCTGAATCAGGATCCAAGTTTGTCGGGTCAAGTGCCAGAACAGAAGCGCAATCAACCGAACTGGTCTGTTTTAAAAATAGAGCGGGCCTGTGCAAAGAGTGAGACCACATGTGGGTGTGCACACTTCTTGTCCCCAGATTTTCCTCCCTCCAAGCTTTTCCTTCCCAACTTTTCTGGCCTATTGTCAATGTTGTTTTCTTTTTTAATGCTTAGGGAGAGGAAAACAGAAGTGCGGTTCCTACACTTTGCCTAATTATGCCACTACCAGACTTGCAGGCAGCTGTGGCCACATCGTTTGTGAGGCGATTTTTGTGTGTGTGTTCAGAGTGACTTGATTCTGATTTCTGTTGTTTTGTATGGAGCGGCACTTTTTCTGTGTTTTAGCAGAACTGTTCCTCTGTATTCTTTACAGTTTTTGTTTCCTTTTTAAATTATGCATAGAGTTTTTTTGTGTGTGTGAAATTAAAGCCTTTATTAACCTTCTGTTGGTTTGACTGTTATTTCTGCAAAGGACACATTCTTGCAGACACTTTTAACAACCAGTTGTTTGAAGTTGTGGAAATCGTCTTCTGTTGACTTTCTGACTCAGATTTCCTCGCAGCACAACTACATCTTAAAGGAAGTGAAATGGCAGACTAGCATTTGGCCTTGGTCACCACTGATTCCTATTATTTTCATCTGAGGAGCCTGTGGAGTTTTGCAAAGGTTTCCGGGTAATAGTTTGTAAACCCAGCATTGGTCTTCATAAGGCTCTTCCTTTGCCTTGTTATTAAGAGTTGGGTGGGGGATGGTGAAATAGCGTTTGCATTTCATACTTGCTTTTAAGCCTCAAGCCTAGACCCAGTGGATATGCTGCTGTTGCTGGGTACTATTTGGAGAATGTTTTGAAACCTAAGAGAGAAGTCTCCTGGGCCATTCAGCTCTCCTTCAACCCTGTAACGAACCATGTGAGTAAGGCTGTGAGGAAAGTATTATGAGAAAAGGAAAAGCCATTACTCTGGGAAAGACGTAAACCTGCAAAATGCTTCAGCCCACCAGCTATAGATAAAAATGAGTTGTGATAGAGAAAAAACTGGAGTGGTGCCTTAGAACTATAACGTTCCATGGAGTGTTTGCTCTTCTAAGAAGGGAAAACTCTAGAACAGAATGGTTAAAAATGATGCAACACCTCAGGATAGAAACCAGCTATCTTTTTGGGAGCTGAAACTGGGACCCCAGGCTCCTTGTGAGAGGGTATAATCTTTTCTGCAGAAAATAGGTAGATGACTAAACAAAAGTGACATTGCCACAGAACTGTTCATAGGCACATACTGTAAAATTTCGCTTCAATTGACATAGGGCTAGTAATTGATAAAAACAAAATGAAAGCCCCCAAGCAGAATAGGGTACTGTTTTACAGCCACTGCTACTCTTCCTTCTCAAAATAGTCCTTTTTCTTTCTTGAGGTTTTGTTGCTTCCATCGAGGCAGGGCAGAGAAGGCAGCTGGAGTCATTCCGAAGGCCTCAGTGAAATCTTCCATGGACAGATGCTCCTAGAAAAGGAGAGGAACCAGAGAGCCAAAGGTCACATTCTTCCCCAGGGTTTGCTCTGATGAGTCACATAGGAGTGGCGTATAGTTGATCAAATGAAAAGTAAAAAGCATTGTCAGCAGAGGTAGGAAGGGGATGGAGAGGAGGGGGATGTGATATTTTGAGATTCCAGGTTTGATTCCTGAACTTGTAGCATAATGAGAAGGATGGTAACATGGTAGATTGCGCTTTCCTTTCTACCAGGGTCAAGTTCACATTAGCCTTGAAATAAGAATTAGGACATTTTCCTTTGCTTGGTTAAGGAATTGCTTTCCTTTCAAGTTTTCCTTTCTGTAAAATGGAAAACATTTATTAAAGGCAAATTTTCACTTTTATGAGAATGAAAGTAATATTACATATGAAAGGGTCTTGAAAAAAGGTATATTGTTCATCTACCTTCACTTAAAACAGTAAACCCAAACCTAGCCCACAAAGTAAGCAGATAAGCCCTGGGAGAGTATCTGCCCATTTCTGGATAAGTAAGATCTTATTGCTATCATAGGACACATGGCTCTTCCAGCAAGAGCCCATCACCCTCAGGAGTGGTCTCCCTCCCAGGCCCTACCTTGCTTTGGATCAGGTTAGCAAACTGGCCACAAGGGAAGTAGGGCCCATTCTGGCCCTAACGGGACAGAACAAAGCAACAGTCTAACTTACATTATACACTGCTGTAACACAAAGACACTGAGACAGATTTGAATATTCCCAATATGGGGTGATAAAGTTCGAGAAAGTCCAGGTCATCTGATTCCAATGCCTGCTCCACTGCACCACACTGACCCTTTCTTGAGTGGTTTTAGACATACTGTAAAGTCCTCTTGACATCTTTCCCTCCCAGACCTGCAAGGTCTACTGTTAATGCTCAGTTAGTTGACTGGAATTTTGCCATTATGGGTAGCTTCATCCCTTTTGGCTCACATTGTTTGTTTCCAGTTAAAAGGCAACATGTTAAACTTCATCTGTCTTATATTCTACTGTGAATGTAGTCAGATTATTTTGTAGGAGCAGGTTTTGCTTAGAGATAGTGGGAGGTAGAAGCAGAAGGTAAAACTGAGGTAGAGGAAGGATTCCAAGAGAAGAAGCTAAAAAGGCTAAAGGACAAATTCAGAGTCAAATTTTGCCTAGCTATTTGAATAGAAAACAAAACACTTGTTTGGTAAACCATAAACATGCCACTGCACTCCAGCCTGGGCAACCTAGTGAGGCCCCAATCCTCTCCCCCAAAAAAAGCCCAGGCAGAAGAGTCTATGCTGATTATAGTGACAAAAGGTGAAGAAAAAAAAATGCTTGGATAAGTGACATGTACCAGCTCCTTCCATCCTGTGAATGAGCTAGAATATTAGCACAATTTTACCTTTTTACTCTTGGCGTGGAAATAACGACTGGGAGTCACTACCTTTTTTTTTTTTTTTTGAGTCGGAGTCTCACTCTGTCACCCAGGCTAGAGTGCAGTGGCATCCTCAGGACCACCACAGCCTTGACCTGCTGGGCTCTGGCGATCCTTCCGCCTCAGCCTTTCAGGTAGCTGGAACTACAGGTGTATACCACCACACCCGGCTGGTTTTTCTTGATTTATTGTAGAGACGAGGTCTCTTCAAGTTACCAGGTTGGTCTCAAACCCCTGGGTTCAGGCAACCCTCTCGTCTCCACCTCCCAAAATGCTGGGAGTAGGCCGGGCTCACTGGCTCAGCCTGTAATCCCAACACTTTGGGAGGCCGAAGCAAATCGATTGCCTGAGCCCACAGGTTAGAAACTAAACTGAGCATTTTGGCAAGACTTTGTCTCCACAATATATCAAAAAATTAGCCAGGTATGGTAGCATGCGTCTCTGTCTCCGGCTACTTGGAAGACTGAGGCAGAAGGATCACCAGAGCTCGGCAGGTCAATGCTGGGGTGGCCGTGAGTGTGCCACTGCACTCCAGCCTGGGCAATGGAGTGAGACTCCAACTCAAAAAAAAAAAAAAGTGCTGGAACTACAGGTGTGAGCCACCGTGCCTGGCTTGGGAGTCACTACCTTTCTAGGCTTAGGTATCTTCAGCCATAAGATGGAGGAATTAGCAAATGATCTTTGCTTCCAGCTCTAATATGACATGATAATACTATTTAAGGCAAGCTAAATACCCTCAAGCCATACCATTTAAGAGCCCCAAATTAAAGTTTCTGTAAAACAGCATCTCCTGGCCTTCATCTCTGCTCCCTCAAGCACCGAGAGGTGAACAAGGTGGAGATGAGAGCACTGGACTTCCTTTAGCTCTTGGCTCCTCTGCTGAAGAGGACTCATCCTAGGGAACATTCTGTTGACTCCCACAGAGAGCCCTGAATTGAACAGCTTGGTAAGCACCTGCAGATGAGTTGCAAGCTCAAGGGGGTGCTGATGCTCCAGTTGTCTAACCTGTCATTAGACTTGCCCCCCACCCTGGGCATTCTCTCAAGCCTCCTGGGAAGAACTTTCCCACTCCCCCAGGCAGGGCAGCGGAGCACTTAGTTGTGAAAGAAGAGAGTAAATAAGAATGGCTTGGGCATCAGTGGATGGGGAAGAGCTTCCCTATCCCAAGTGTGTTTTTAGCACCTTCTCCCCAGGTTCCTCACAGCTGTGGTTGCTGTGCCCTAGGTCTCTGCAAGTAGTTCCTCAGTGCCCTCTCTGATCCAGCCAGGCTGCCTCCTCAGCTTTGTCAAGACTGCTGGACTCTGACCCCTCAGATAGATAGCGTGGACTGCCCATCCCAGCGGACTTCTATCTTTCCATTGGTCCTGTTCTTGAACCCTGTGTTCCTCCCAGCTGATTACCAGCCCTACCCATGCCCACATCCGCCTCCCTGCCATTCTGTTTACTCATCAGTGCTCAAACACTTAGATTACCCTTTTGCTTCTGCCTGCAACCAGACTCACCATCCTACTATTGTCACTGGTTCACCTTCCAAGAATGGAGCAACCAGAGAGGTCTGAAAGCCTCTCCTACCCTCCCCACCTGGCATGGAACTCTCAGCCCTCCCATAAGAATGCTCACTACTTCCATGATTAAGAAATCAGCAAGAGACAACTGGTATTTTTTTTTTTAAATCAGCCTTCTTGGACTGCTTTGACCATGGTGGGACTGTCTTGAGTCCGTCCATTCAAAATGAGTAATCCATTTTAGTCCCATCAATCCTCTGGTTCAATAATATCGACTGCCCTTTCCTTTAGAAATGCTTCCTTTATGCCACGTGACATGATGGTAACAGTGGGACTCTGTTGCTGCAGCTTTGCAACTAACTAGTTACATAATGGACAAATCACTTCCCTTCTTTGCATCTCAGTTTTTGGGTTGTTTTTTTTTTTTCTTTTTTAAAATTAATCTTGTCTTTTTATTAAAGAAATAGATGGGGTCTCACTATGTTGCCCAAGCTGATCTGGACCTCAGTTTTCTCAGGTATAAGCAGGCGATGATGATGACAGCTTTCATTTGCAGTGTACTTTCTATTTCCCAGGGGCTGGGCTAAGCTCATTACTCATACTGGGATCATGCCTATGTTATGGTAAGGATACAGGTGCCTCCTGACCTGTCAGCCACCTCACAGATAGGAGAATACAGGAGATAATTCATGAACATGCTCTCTAAGGGAAAAGGCAGGATTGAAATGCTCTGGGAACAATGCATTTGTACATATATTATGCCCAAACCCTTAACAGACTTCGATGTTCTGGGAGAAACTGGGCATCTCTCTTTTGTAGATTTCTTAATTCATTTGTAAGACTACTTTTTTTTTTTTTTGAGTCAGTCTCACTCTGTTGCCCAGGCTGGAGTGCAGTGGCACACTTAGGGCCACCGCAGCCTCGACCTGCCGAGCTCAGGCGATCCTTCCACCTCAGCCTTCCAAGTAGCTAGAACTATAGGCACATACCACCATGCCCAGCTGATTTTTTTTATTTATTGTAGAGTCGAGGTCTTGTCATTTTTCCCAGGCTAGTCTCGAACCTGTGGACGCATCCTCTCGCCTTGGCCTTCCAAAGTGCTGGGATGACAGACGTGAGCCACCACACCCAGCTGTAAGACTTCTTTATGACTTATTATACACACAGTATACTTTCTCTCCTTTTAGTACTCCTAAACTAGATTTGCAGACTATTTTGGATCTTCATTAAATGGAAATGGATATCAGAAAGGTGTTTTTAGGCTGGACACGGCAGCTCACGCCTGTAATCCCAGCACTTTGGGACGCTGAGGCAGGAGGGTTGCTTGAGCTCAGGGGTTCAAGACCAGCCTAGGCAACATAGTGAGACCCCCCGTCTCTACAAAAAAAATGGCCGGGCTCAGTGGCTCAGCCTGTAATCCCAGCACTTTGGGAGGCCGAGGCGAATGGATTGCCTGAGCCCGCAGGTTCGAGACCAACCCACGCAACCTGGCGAGACCTCGTCTCTACAATAAAAAATAAAAAAATAGCTGTACTCGGCGGCTCAGCCTGTAATCCCACGCCTTTGGGAGCTGAGGTGAGTGGATTGCCCAAGCCCACGGGTTCGAGACCCGCCTGTGCAACTTGGCGAGACCTCATCTCTACAATAAATCAAAAAATTATCCGGGCGTGGTAGTGTGCGCCTGTAGTTCCAGCTACTCAGAAGGCTGAGGCGGAAGGATC